CGCGGTCAGAACAGCCGCAGAGTCCTTCAAGATTGCCCGAAGAGGCTCCGAAGATAGCCTGAGGAGGCCAAGACGGCCCAAGATGGCCCCAAGATGTCCCACGATGGCCCAAAGACGGCCCAAGATGCTGCCAAGACGGCCCAAGAAGCTTCCAAGAGGCCTCCCAAGAGGCCTCCCAAGAGGGCCGCACGAAGCAAAAATCATAGATTTTTCGAACACGTTCTTGAAAGCTTTTGGCCGTCTCGCCTTTGCGGCTTTCCGACGTTCCGAGACGGACCAAAAGGTTCCCGAGATCGCCCCACGACGTCCCTAGAAACCCCAATGAAGGCCCAAAAGGCCCCCAAGACGGCCCGGAGACGGCCGAAGAGGGCCCCAAGACAGTCCAAGACGCGCCCCAGAAGGTCCCAAGAGGGTCCTAAGACCGTTCCAAGAGAAGCCCAAGAGGGAGTACACGAACCGAAAACGCAACATTTGCGCTCCGAGAGGGCCCCATGAGGCCCTAGGAAGGCCCCAAGAGGCCCCAAGAGGCCCCCAAGAGGCCCCCACGAGGCCCCAAGAGACCCCCAAGATACCAAAAATATTGTTTCCAAGATGCCCTAAGGAGACCCCCAAGAGGCCCCCACGGAGACACCCAAGAGGCCCCCAAGAGGCCCCAAGGAGACCCCAAAGGCCACAAGGAGACCCCCGCGCAGCCGCCCGCACTAGTAGCAGGGGGGGCCGGCGGCAGAGGGCGACGCCCTTAAGAGAGATATTGTACATATACATATACATACACATTATATATATATATGTATATATATATATATATGTACACATATATGCGCAGCCCCCCCCCCCAGCGCCCATTGATTTTGCATCGGTCGTTGACATCAACTTCTGAGAGAAAGAGAGAGAGAGAGAGGGAGAGTTGAGGGAGCAGCGATCGCTGTGGAATCACAGGATTAGCGACGTCAGGGGTCGCCAAACCCTGTGTTTTCATTGGTTTTTTTGGGATTTCTGGGATGAGAATCAAGGAAACCATGTGTTTTCATTTGGATTTTGGGGATCTCTGGGATTTCTAAGGTTCTGAAGCTTCGGAGGCTCCTGGGTTGTTATTCTCTGGAAAGAGAAAATCTCAAAAATCCAAAAAATCCAAATGAAAACGCATTGTTTCTTTGATTCTCATCCCAGAAATCCTAAAAATGCAAATGAAAACACAGGGCTTGGCGACACCTGATGTCGCTAATCCTGTGATTCCACAGCGATCGCTGCTCCCTCAACTCTCCCTCCCTTTCTCTATCTCTCTCTCTCTCTCTCTTTCTCTCTCTCTCCCCACCTGTGCGCTTCAGAAGAGGAGGACGACGAGGAGAAGGCGCAGGATGAGGAGGAGGAGGAGGAGCTGGGCCAGGAGGAGGAGAAGGAGGGGGAGAAAGAGCAAGAGCGACAAAGGAGAGGGACACAGAGAAGGACACACAGAGAGACTGATGGGAGAGGTAAAGAAAGGTGGAGAGAGAGAGAGAGGGAGAGTTGAGGGAGCAGCGATCGCTGTGGAATCACAGGATTAGCGACGTCAGGGGTCGCCAAACCCTGTGTTTTCACGTGGATGTTTGGGATTTCTGGGATGAGAATCAAGGAAACCATGTGTTTTCATTTGGATGTTTTTGGTTTTTGGGATTTCTAAGGTTCTGAAGCTTCGGAGGCTCCTGGGTTGTTATTCTTTGGAGAAAAAAATCTCAAAAATCCAAAAAAATCCACATGAAAACACATGGTTTCCTTGATTCTCATCCCAGAAATCTCAAAAATCCAAATGAAAACACAGGGTTTGGCGACCCCTGACGACGCTAACCCTGTGATTCCACAAGGATCGTTGCTCCCTCAACTCTCTCTCTCTCTCTCTCTCCACCTTTCTCTACCTCTCCCTCAGTCTCTCTCTGTGTCCCTCTCTGTGTTCCTCTCTCTGTCGCTCTTGCTCTTCCTCCCCCTCCTCTTTCTCCTCCTCCAGTTCCTCCTCCCCCTCCTCCTCCTCATCCTCCTCCTCCTTCTCCTCGTCGTCCTCCTCTTCTTCTGAAGCGCACAAGGGGGGGAAAGAGAGAGAGAGAGGGAGAGAGAGAGAGGAGGAAAGGAAGAGGAGCGTATAACATCGCCAAAACACCAGAGGCCAAGAATGGGCGCTAGGGGGGGGCTGTCCACATACATAAATATATATGTGTGAATATATACATACATACACACATTCGAATGTGACAACTGCCCGAGAGGCAGATATTGGAAGCACCTTACATGGGAAACCAATAGTAGTGGAAACCCAAGATTCGTGGTTTCCGATATCTTGGGCTTCCAATATATCTGGTTTCAACAAGTTTAAATAAGTTGGGCTTACAACATATTCGGTCTCATATGCATATACTTGATATGATATACATATATGTGATGTGATATTCGCTCTCATACAACATATTCGGTTTACATTTTGAATGTTCCATATATTTGATATCATATACATATATATATATATATCCATAACTTGAAGCCTTCCGGGGGAAAGGGGGGTGGGTTCGAACCCACTCCTTTTTCTGTTGCATTCCGCGGAGGGGGAAGGGGCTGGTTCGAAGTTGTCGTTCGGCGCCGGCGCTCGTTTTCGTCGCCGTCGCTTGGCTTCGACGCTCGCCGTTGTCATTTGCCAGCGGCGTGTGGGTGGGTGGGAGGGGTGGGGGGTTTTGAAATTTCCCCTCCCCCCCCCTGCTTTGTGGAATCCGAAATGAGAGGGGGGTGGGGGGTTTGAATCCCCCCCTCGGGTTTGGAAATCCAGGGGGAGGGGTCTGGGGAGGGGGAAGCTTACCGGGCGAGGGGGGGGGAGGGCTTGTAGGAAAGGGGGGGTGACTAGTTTGAGGGGGGAGCTCCCCCGGTTCGTCGAAGGGAGACATTCGTGCGGTAGAAGCTCTCTCCCAAATGGATATCATTCTCGTTATGACCTTACCACGGTGAAAACTGCGGAGGCGCCTTGGGGCTCGGGCCTGCGCAGGAACGAACGCCATCTCGAATTGCGGGGAAACCGTGATGATGCCGTCAACCCTGGTCGAACCCAAGGTCGGCAGAACTGGTGCGTTAATGAGCCTTCAGGGTCCCACTAGAGTGGTGCGACGTGTTCACAAGGACAGCCAGCACGATCGCACACATTACGAGGCACGGCGCTGCCCAGGGAGGACAGGGAGGAACCTCGCAGTCACGCCCGAAGCAAAGCTGCGGTCAGTGCCTGTGGGGTTGCGATGGGTCGGGGAACGTTGTGGCGCTATGGTGGGCAAGTCGTTCCTCACCGCGCGAATACCTTCAGCTGATGCCCTGCAACCAGACCAATGGGCCTCCAGGGCGAATCGCCAGTCGGCTTGCTGCAAGACAACCATAAGCACAAACGGCTCAAGGAATGGAGGGTGGTACCGCTGCGAAAGCGAAGGTAACTGTGAATGTGCGCCCGCACCGCAATACGCGCACGTTCCGTGGATCGCGAGCTGGGATCGCTCCCAGTTCCGCTACCAACTACATTTGTGGGGCTTGAAAGCTGTGCGAGAGAAAGCACGGCGACAATGAGGAGCAGGGCGAGGAGGAGGGGGGAGAGCGGGAGAAGAGAGAGTCGGTAGGAGGAGAAGGATGATTTTTAACTCGCGTGCTCTCGCCCGTGAGTGAATGCCCCTGGTCTCGGCACCCCGCGCAGGCGACGCGCCCGAGGCAGGGTGGGCCAGCGGCCTCAGCACACGGCGCTTCTCTTAGCCGTTCTCCAGCGCTGGCTTATGGAGATTATGCAGCACCATCTTGCGAGCACGCCTGATGTGCTCGTCGACCCGCTCCTCGCGGCAGGGCTGCGCCGTGCCGAGCTGCGCCGAACCAGCACCGCCGCCGTCGGCCACCGCCAGGGCCTCCTGGCCTGCCGAGGAGGCGTGGGCCGCCGCCGCCACCGCGGCCCCGCCGCGGGGCGCGGCCGCTCCTCAACCGTCGCCGAGGGGCTGGGTGGCGCTCATGCCCTTGTCCGTGCCCACCGACGCGGGCGCGCCCGCGCGGCTCGTGCGCCGCCCCGCGCTGGACGGCGGGCGGCTCGGCTGCGCAGGCAGCTCGTCCGCCCAGCTGTCGTCCTCCATCATGGCCTCGGCGACCTCCTCGCCCTCCACGTCCATCTCCTTCGTCTCTGCAGCAGTGGCTCCTCGCCGACGTCGACCGCGCCATCGCCTCCGCCGCGGCGCCGCGGCGCCAGGCGGCAGGCCACCCACGGGATCATCAGGGGCTCCATCATGCTCGGCGTCAGGGGGACGATGAGGAGCAGCAGCACGGCGTCGCGAAGCCTCCAGCTCCGCCGCCGCCGCCCTGCACAGGCCCTCGGCGGCGCGCAACATGTGGCAAGCCGCAGGCGCTCCGCGGGCCAGCCCCGCCGCCGAATGGGCCGCCAAGGTGGCACTTCGGGCGGCCGCGATTGCAGCGCGGGGATCAGCAGCCGGCATCACCCGAACCGAGGCGGGCGGCGCGGCCTGGCGACACCAGGTTCGAGCGAAATGGTTACTAGGAGGAGAAGGATGATGAGGAGAAAGAGGACAAGAAGGAAGGTAGGAGGATGAGGGGGGGGGATCATCATGGGGAGGGCCAGCAGTAGGAGGAGGAACGAGGAGAACGGAGAGGGAAGAGGAGGAGGAGGAACATTGAAAAAGGGGGAGAGGGAGGGACGGGTAGGGAAACACAACAAGACAAACAATGATTCGAGCGACCCCCACCATAAAAAGCAAGGCGGGATCCCCAAGGAACACCTGGCCCCTTGGGACCTGGCGGCCGCGGCATGCAGTCATCACCCGTCGAAGACGCGAGGCGGGATACCCAGGAAACAACAGCACCGTTGGGGCCCGGCGGCCGCGGTATGCAGGTTGCGCTTTGCGGGTCGGAAACTTGTTTCCCTGCATCTAACAACCCCAACGTGTCGCGTGTGTGCGCGTGGGGGGAAAATACAAAACATGTTCCTACCGCTTCCGTCCGACGGCCAGTGCCTGGCGAGCGCGGCCGAGAGCTCATTCGCGAGGGACTTGCTCTGCTCCTGCCTGGCGTTGGTACTGCCTTGCTGCGCCTCGGGTGCGGGTTCGGACTCCTCTGGTCCGCCCTGCCTGCCCCCCGCCCTGATCCTGCTGCTGCCCCTCCTGCTCCTCCCTCATGCCTCCTCCTCCTCCTCCTCCTCCTCCTCCTCCTCCTCCTCCTCCCTATCCCCCTCCTCAACCTCCTCCTCCCCTTCCTCTTCCTCGTCCTCCTCACCCTTCCACTCCTCCTCCTCCTCCTCCTCCTCCTCCTCCTCCTCCTCCTCCTCCTCCTCCTCCATTCCTCCATTCCTCCGTTCCTCCTCCTCCTCCTCCACTCCTCCCCCCTCTCCTCTTGCTGTTTTTTTTCCTCGTCACCCTCCCCCGCGTTTTCCTCCTCCTCCTCTTCCTCGTTGTCATCGTTGTCTTATTTCTCGTCATCGTCCTTTTCTTTTTGGCATTGCACATGTAGCTGCCACGATACCTCCCCTTCAACCCCGTCATTATCCTCCTGTGCTTCTTCCCATCCCGCCCATTCCTCCTGACGGTCGCGCGCGACCGTGCGAATTGTAGCTCCCGCCGAAGCGCCGCGCAAAATGCACCTGAGAGTAGCGTTCCCGCTTGGGCGCGGCCTCCAGTCGCCCAATCATTGAGAGCGGGGCCACGCGCGAGCGAGAGACTTGTAGCCCACGCCGGGTATCCGTGTAGGTGTTGAACAAATGGCGGTCCCGCTCAAGCGCGGTGCATAGCTTTCGCTCGCCGGGTCGCCAGGAAACGACAACGCACGTTTTATTCTCGCGCAAGAGCAAAGTCGTCTACGCAGGACAGTGGCAGTGCTGCTTCGGCGCGGCGCGTGCTTGATCTTCGCCACTCTCATCGGAAGTTTGCCCGCGTGCGAAAAGGCTCAAAGGTGCTCTCGACAGAACGCTGCGCAAGGATTTCCCCCCGTGCGCGGCCTGTGCATTTCCCCCTCGCCATGTCGTCGGAAGCAGGTCCACACGCGAGAGCCTTCCTGCGAGCCGATTGTTGTACCAAGTTGCACTAGTCTTGGTTCTTACGTTACGGAATACAAAGGGAGTAGACGGGGCCCGCTGACTCCTCGATCTGGGTAACTGAACCTTCCTTCTGATTTTTCTTCTCCTCCTACTCCTCCTGCCCCCGTCATTATCCCCCTGCTCATCCTCCTAAATTACACCATCTTATCCTACAAGCTCCCCCTCCTCCAGGTCCTCATCATTTCAGTCGTTGCCCTTCTCCTCCTGTCAGCATCATCCCTCTCTCCCTCCTTCATGTTCCATGATTCTCCTCCCCCTCCTGATTCTCCTCATTCACATCATGTTGGTCGTAGTCTGCCTCCCCTCCCCCGTTCCACCCCAATACTCCCCTTTCCTCGCACCCACACGCACCATACACCACGATGATGGCAGTGCCTCCCCTCCTCATCCTTGTGCTACTTTCCTGCATCACCTGCCATTCCTCTCAGCGGCGGACGGCTGGGAGGGGAAGGCCGAGTCTCACGACCAGCGCGGATGTTGACCGCCCTAACGATGACGACGACGACGACGACGATGCATTCGGCAATGGCGGCTGAGGCGGCATGAGGACCACGGCGGACGCGGCGGCAGTCGCGGCGGCGGCGGGGCTGCGCCAGCTCGTCGATGACGTCCTCAACGGTAGGGTCGAGCGCCGAGATCTCCCAGTGAAGCACTCTATTGACCCCCTGGCCTGACGTGGGGGGCAGCGGAGAGGGGAGGCGTCCCCCTCTTTTCCCCCTTAGCGTATTTGAATCCATTCTCCAAATTATCAGATGTTGTGTTGGGCTGCCAGGTGTTGGTGCCAAAAGCGATGCCCTCCCACATCCGAAGTGGGTTTCTCGTTCTCTCTGCACACCTCGCGCAGGAACCTCCTCACCTGACTTATTTCCTTTACTCGCACTCATTCCTAAACACCACCCACTCACTCACTCACTCATAACTCAGTCCTCATCACACTCATCACCACTCATCACCACCCATCACCACCCATCACCACCCACTCACGCGATCACAGTCAGCCCTCACCACTCACACTCACCTCGTTCATCGGATATTCATCGTTTGTCGCTCACCACTCACAATAATCTCGCTCATCTCATCATGTCATCACACTCAGCACTCAGTCAGTGAGTGAAGTTGCAGGAAGTCCCAAGCGGGAGCCCCACTTCCGAGTGACATTGAAGGAAGTCTCAGGCGGGGGCCCAATTGCCGAAGAGAGCTGGGGATTCAGAATAATCATCGGAATCATCAGCTGTTATTAATTTGGGGCCTCTCAGCCTTGACATTGAAGAACTTCTCAAGTTATGTGATGAACGTCAGGGAACCATTCGAAACATGCAACGGTCATCAATTTTGGGCTTCTCAACCTTGAACTTGCAGGAGTTATGAAGCAGCCGCTTCATTGCGAGCGACATTGAAAAATATAATCAGGCGGGAACCCCCTCCCTAAGAGAGCCGCACCTTTGGGGGAATGGCAAAGAATCCTTCGACACCAAAAACTGTCGTCATGCTCGGGCATATCACCCGGGATATTGAAAGAAACCGCAAGCGGGAGTTCCATTTCTGAATGAAGTTGGCGGAAATCTCAAGTGGGACCCCCCTCTCCCTAAGGGAATCGCACCTCCTGGAGCAAACTCATAGATTCGAATCCGAAAATTGTCATCACTTTTGGGACATTACCTTAACACTGCAGGAAGTCCCGAGCGGGAGCTTCATTTCTTTGTGAAATTGGCGGAAGGTTCAGTCGGGAGCCCCCTCCCTAAGGGAGCCTCAGCTCGTGGAGGAATGGCAGATAATCATTTGAAACTGAAAGATGTCGTCACGCTTGGGCCTCGGATCTTTGAAAAGATAAGGAAGTTCCAAGCGGGAGCTTCATTGTTAACTGAAGTTAGAGGAAGTCGCCACCCCCCCCGCGCTCCCCACTCGCGCATTATTCTTGGCTCGCCGACCGGAGGTGCGCGCGCAACCGAAAGTGCCCGCTCTTGCGCTGGACATTGCTCCATACTCTTCAGCGGCCAATGTTTCCGCATTGCGCGCCAGCTGGTGAGACCGCGCGGTGCTATCAGCAACATAGCGGTTCAAGCATATCCCCGCGTAGGTGGTACTCCGTGAACTCTTCGGATGCGCCGCGTGCTGCGCCGCCACTTTTCGAATGTACGCGCGGGGCCCATCCGGCGCAGGCTTGAACCCGTGATCCGTTTTCGACTGGGGCTTCGAAACGGCCCCTAGGGACCGAAAGCGACAAAACCCGCGAGCAACGCATTGGCGAAAGGAATAGCAATATATGTTTCGGAGCAGGGTATGAAAACATTGGCAGACATTTTCAAATCGCGGCCGTCAAAACCCTACCCAGGACGACGGGGCCAAGGTTCCGGGAGGCCGGGGATTCGGAACATCGAGTCGCTTGGGGCGCTAAGGGCAGCAGCAGCAGCAACAATGCATCAGCAGCCGCAGCGCCGCCAGCCCTCGAGGATCGAGGGGGGGAGGTTTTCGGATGTTCTGCGGCGGCCATTTCGTGGCCTTCGGAGGCCCGCGCGGATCTTCAAGGCCTCGGGGCGAGAGCAGAACCTGCCGCCATCGCATCCCGCCGCGGTGCCTGGATTTCGGGGTCATGGATGTTTCTTGGGGTCTATTCAGGTGTGTTTCGGGATCTTCGGGTGGCAGCGCAGAGGCCTCCTCCTGGGCGCCTCTTGGAGGCCTCTCGGGGGCATCCTGAGAGGCTCTCGGAAGAAAACTTATTATGGGGCCTTTCTTGGGGCCCATGCGGGGCCCTCTTGGACAATCTCGGATGTCTGTTTTAAAATTGTCTCGGGCTGTCAGGGCGCCCTCTCGGAGGCCTCTGGACATGCATAATGGCGCTCTTTGGGGCATGATGGGCCGTCTTGGGGCGCCGACAAGCAGCGCCGGCGGGGCGGCCCAGCCCCACTGCCGCGCTCCGCTGGCCCCGCGAGCCCCCGAGGCCCCAGGCTCCTGATTCCAAGATGGCCCAAGTGCCCCGCGACCCAAACACGATCGCAACACGACCCAATGGCGCCAATGTGGATTCGACGTACCCTAATGCGAGTCCGACTTGCCCATTATATCCCCCCGAAGGCGAAGCCTGGCCCAAAGACTGAAACAGCGCAAGCAAACGCAAATGGTTCAGTCAATTGCAAGAATACTCAATCATCGGCGTTCAATGCGGGATCTTCGGTCTTCGATTAACCAATGCCAACAGACGCCCATATGTTTCCCAAGCGCCTTCAATCTGATCCCAAGACGCAACGACCTCCGTGCGATTTCGCAGCAATCCCATGGCACATGGCCCAGCGTGCACCCCCCTAGTGTATGTTTGTTCCCCTCGATGGGCGCGCCAGCAGAATCGTCTAAACAGCTAGCATCGTGGCGCGAAGCCAGCGTCGTAAGAAGCAGCAGCGGCGGACACCGCAACTGCAACAGCTACAATCGCAATCGCAGCAGCGACAGAGGCAGCAGCGACGCCCAGACGGCCAGGGATCGAGGGCGGATGTGTTTCTCTGGGCCTCTGGGCCTCTGGAAGCCTCTGGGCCTCCGGGGGCCTCCTCTGGGCCTCCGGGGGCCTCTGGAAGCCCCCCGGTGCGTCATGAATTGGCAGCGCCCACCAACCGGCTCCTCCACTTCTTCAGCCCATGCCTCCTCTCTCGTCTCGCGCCCTTCCCCCTGCGTCGCCCTCTTTCGTTTTCTCATCCTCCCCCTCCTCTTCGTTATCGTCGCTCTGTATTATCTCCCCTCGTTCCCCTGTTCCCCCCCCTCCCCTGCGCCCCCTGATCCAGCTCCCCCCCCTCGTTTATTGCACCCCCCCGTCCGACGTGATACTCCGAGCCGCGTGGCCGCCCTGGCGCTGCCCGCAAGCCCGCGCGCCCCGCGGCCCTCCGAGAATCTATTGCGCCGCGGGGGTCGGGGCATCGGGTCACCGACCCCGCGCCATCAGGCGGCGATCGCGCCGCTGCCTGGCTGACCTACGTCGCTGCCCCCCCCCCCCGCGCGATGCATGACAGCAAACGGGAGGTTCGTCGCGGCCCGAGACCCCAATGATATTCCCAGGCGACCTTCAGATGACACCGTGGATCTGGGATGGCCCAAGGACGTCAACGCGACGCCAGGATGCCCCCATGGCGAAAAGCGCAATACAGTGGCCCCACGATGGTTCGATGATGATCCCAACTCGGCCCCATGGTAAGCCCAGCGCGACTTCGTGGCCCAGGTGCGATGCCCACCCAAACCCATCACCATAACATGGTCGCACGGTCGCACTACGAGACACTGGCACGACCCCAAACAAAGCCCCCGCGACCCCAAGCTGAAACCGGAGGCACCACGTAGCACCATGCGACACCAAGGCCGACCGCGAGATGACCCCGAACAGGCCCCGTGACGCAAGTTTGATTTCAAAGCGGTTTCAAGACGGCCCCTGGGGGCTCCAAGACGACCCCCCCACCAGATCCAGCATGGAGCCAATGCCGCGCGGTTGCGTTCGTCAGCGTTTCCTCCCAGGCAAGGCGGGGCCCCGTCGGCTCGGGGGCCGCGCTGCGCGAGGCCGAGCGAATTCGAGGTGCCAGATGCAAATGTTCTAGGTGCCAGGTAGCGCGGTCTGGGTTTTTTGCCTCGCTCTGGTCAACGGCTGGGAGCACTGCCAGGAGAGGATCGACGCTATCGAGAAGCTACGAAAAGCTGGTCGAGGAGGACTCGGACGTGTTTCCACGCGAGAAGGTGCACGGCTGGCTCGAGGTGCTCAACTGGCGGTGGAGGGGGGGCATCGCGGACGTCCGCAGTCAGATGCTGCGGCTCTCGGGCCGGGAACGGTTGCGCACGGAGCAGCTCGAGTACATGGCGCTCCCCCCCGACTGCGACGGCCACGGGCAACCCGCTCCTGCGCGTGCCCACACGCTTCAAGCTGGATCTGGAAAAGGCCAGCATCCTGAAGACCCCCCCCTCCGCACGCACGCCTCGAGCAGCAGCCCGGCCGCGCGCTCTGGCGCTTCGCCCGCGAGGCGCCGAGGCCCCGAGCGAGGCCTGCAGCGCCGGCGGCGGCGCCGGCGCCCCCGGGCCCCGCGCCTGCCCAGCGGGGAAGCGCCTGCCGCCCTAGGAGAGCTCCGACTCAATCGCCCACGCCCCCATCGACGAGGCCTCGAAGAAGCCGTGCTCCTGGGGGGCAGCCACCCACTGCGGATGCCAGAGGTCGGGGCAGGAGCGCGAGCACTCACGCCGCCCCTTCAATGGGGCCTTTCAGAAGCAGCACCGGACGGCCCAAGCCCAGCTCGTCAGACGCGGCGCACCCCCCCCCCGCCCGAGGTCGACGGCCGCGTCGAGCAGCTGAAGGGGGCGGCCCGCGAGGAGGCGGCGACGAAGGCACAGGAGGGCATCGCGAGGCGGGAGCAGCGCGAGGGACGGGGCTGCGGCGAAGCCGCGCCGAAAACGGAGGACACGCAGAGGCGCGCCCACTGGGCCCCCCCCAGAGGAGCGCACGACATTCGCGCCCACGGCCGCGGAGAGCGAGCTCATGGAGACACTCTGGGGCCCAGCCTTCGCGCGGGAGGACGACGTCGACCCGCCGGCCCCTGGCGCCGCGGTCGCTGCTGAGGACCCCGCCGACCGCCCGCCAGAGGTCGGGGCGCGACGGGAGCAGATCGCCAAGATCGCCGCCCTCCCGAAGGTGGGCCGCCTGGAGCAGGG